TGCTTTTAATTCCTAATGTTGAAAGGGGGAACATGGTTAGACTCAATTTTTGGTGGCTCCTTAGCACCGACTATTGAATGTTCAGAAAGTACCTGGCTTCATGTTTATATTTTTGCAATTCCCCTTGTTTTATGGTACATGTAAGAGATAATCTATGCTTGGTTTTTTTAGAATGTTGCCTGCAAAAAAATTCCAACTTTCTGCCTTTAGTTTGGAGCAAAGTACAATCGATCATGTTCTTCGATGAAAAGAAACAACCACAAAGTTCGGCAAACTGTCCTTTGTTAATGTAGCAACTAGGACTCTGATCTGTTGGTTCTAGATAACATGGTTTCCATATAATTGTACCTGTAGTCTGTAGAAATCAATCAGTGGCATTCTTTCTTTCTTTTTCTTTCTGTAAATAATTTTTTTTTTCTCTTGTTTGCCTGAATAGAGCCAGTTAGAGGAGTTTGTGATAACTTGCTATGTATTTAACAGGTTTTATGTCATGCGTCTTGAAGACCGGCCACTCATGTTTTCCACAATTACACATCATGCGAGTGTGACCCAATGCCTTGGATCAATTGGAGGTCATGTTTGGTATCTTGGAGTTGCTAAGCCATCCATTTTAGATTCAAAAGAAAATAAGAATGACCCTGAAAAACCCTTAGCACAGTCACACTGTGGGCATTTCTACGTGCCTCCAGCAGTTGATAACGTGAGAGTATTCAGAGTTGCAGGCCCGAGGTTTCTAAAACTTAATCGTGGAACATGGCATGCAGGGCCTCTATTTAAGGGGGACTTCATGGACTTCTACAATTTAGAACTGAGCAATACTAATGTGAGTTTTTCATCCCTTTTTCTTTTTTCTTTTTTAATTCATGGGGTAGTTGTTTATGCATGCACTATGGTGCATCTGCAGAGCCATTGATCAAGCTATTGTTATATTTTTTGGAATTTTGGTTCCATGTGTCTGGTTTTGGTAGTTAAGGTTAAGCCTGGATTTGTAGAATGGCATGGACTGGGCATTTGGGGGTTTAACCTCCATGAAACAAACTAAAACTTCTATCTTTATTCTGTGCACTGTGCGTATGTGGTCTTGCAACTTCTCTGGTTCTGTTTCACAAGAAATCAAAAGAATTAAACCTTTGGATCACTGAAGAGTACAAAGGTATCATATCAGAAGGGCATTCATTGAAATTGGGATGATGTTAACACTAGTTACTTTTCTAAACTGAGCATCATGTCCAAGAAAATGTGTCATGCTTTATAATTTATATACCAAGCTGAATCCTGCTAGTTTACATATGTCAGTATTATGATTTGCCACATTTTTTCAGTCTTGTAATGGGGTTGAAACCATACACTCAATGTATTTTCCTTGCAATATCTCTCTTACATTGCATTCAGAACTTTGGTTTATTGCTTGAATCTATCAAAGAAGCTCGCATTTTCATCCTTGGTTTCTCAAAATCTCATTCAGAAGGCCTTTTGTCTTATATATGAGCATACAATCAATACAGGTCTGAGTTAAGTATACATGTGCAAGAGTGAATGAGTTTGTATTTCATTCGGAATATATATGAATCTGCTTTTATAACCTTTTCCCTTTTTTTGGGGCAGGTGGTGGATCATACAACACATGACTTCATCAAGAAAAATGGAGTTTTATTTTCAATCGATGAGTAGCTGTATGTACAACTTAGATTTTTAAATCCATGTCAAGAGATTCAAGTAATGTGAGAGTTGTAATGTCTGGAATGTACAAAAATACTCTTAACATTGTACTATTTACTATGAGAATATATTCAATGTTATGTTTGCAATTAACTGGTTGGAGCATTTGGTTCGTAATGGATCACAATAAATAGACAGAAATGTTTTTGCCAGTACAGACAACCATAGCCTTAGGATCTCTTCCCTCCACATGATTCCACCCATCCTAGGACTCTAGTTGTTTACATTGCAATGTTTTTTTGTCAGTTTAGACTAAAAAAAAAAAACAATTCTCATTCAACTATGCCTGGGATTATGTTGAGAATCACGTGAAAGAAATCTAAAACCGTAAAATGATTTTATTCTTAAGGTGTGTTTAAAGCAATGCACAAACGAATAATGTCCTTTAAATCTTTTTACAAAATAATGCTGCCGGTACATCCAGCTTTTTATCCATGGAATGATTCAGACAAGAGATGTAGGTTCCCCTGCTTTTAAAAAAAGTGGAAAAGATTCTATGTTATTTTTCAATTTTTGGAAAACATTCTATGCTATTTTTCAAATTTTGTCCCCCATCCTTTTGCTGTTCTCTCTTATCACAAGTATAACTATCAGAGCAGAAAGGAATGTACATACACATCATACAACCATTCCAAAATTATTATAAAAAAAAAAAAAAAAATGTGCTACGTACACATCACATCTATTCTATGTTTGAATTGAAGAAAACAGAAGAAAATGAAAGATAACGCTCTTTCTCTTTTATTTATATAAATAATTAAATAAAAAATAAAATAAAATAAAATAAACTTTCTCTTTCTTCCTCCTTTTAAAATTTTTGATAACCAAATAAAAAAAAATTTTTTCCTCTCATCCTCTTTATTTTCTTCAACTCAAATATAATATTGAGTCGAGCAAAATGTATCATTATTTCTACAAGAAAATGCATATTCTTAACCTAAATTAATATGCAGAATCTCATTCTACGATGAAATTTCACAATCACATAATATTAAATGAGCTATGCATTTCAATCATATGCCCCAATGGTTAAAAAGAATAATTTACAATTATTATGTTCTAAGATTTGGAGACTTTACTGTGAGCCAAGTCTATGTATGAACACACTTCATTTTTAACTACCCTCTCCATTACAAACTTCCCTTTCTAAAAAGTCATTCTCTATTATTTTAATAGGCAAAACGTCGTTGTAAACTGCTATTGTTGCATACCAAATTCGTCCACTATCCCATTAAAAGTCAATACTTTTATACCTAAGATCACATTAAAAACCAAAAACTAAATTTGTTGATTTAACGTGCATTAATCAGTCAATAATCAGAAACTGAAAGTTACAGTCAATCCCTATCTTACGTATAAACCTGGCTTCATTTGGATTTGTGCATCGTCTTCAACAAGTTGAGTGTTGGACCCGCGTTGGGTAGAAGAAGTGGCTGACAACCTTTTTCCTTTTCTCTTTCATTGACATATTGCATAGGATATATTTTTTTTTTATCAACAATATAATTTTATTAATTGGAGTACAAGAAATACTCTTATTTTTTATAAATTAAAAATAAATAATATATCAACAACAATGCATATAAAATACCTAAATCCTCTTAAATTTTTTATTAAATTTCAAAAACTTAAAATACAGAGAATAATCTTTCCAAAATCTTAATTCAATAGTTTGCATATTGCATAGAATATAACATGCATGAATGTCTATACAATGGTCCATACATGTATATACACATAAACATAACATTAAAGTCAGTCTTCAAAAGAAAAACTTATTGATTTGAACATCAAAATTTAGCTTAAGATGATAGATAAGATTATTCCTATAGGATTCTTCCTCCGTCAATCTTATTAACTCTGATGAAAGTAGACTCCATTAATATCTTCCAAATTCGAAATAGGATTATTCAGTGGTTCCACAAAGAAAAAAGAGTTGCATTTTCCTTTTATCTTTTTTAGTTACTCGACATTTCACGTGAAATGGGTTTACTTTTGCCACCAATAAGATCCAATTTGCTCTATAGACATTCACTTTTTATGTCAAACATCCAACTTTACAGTTAGAATTTAATACAACGACAGAACGTGAAACATTATAAGCAAGAAGTCTATGCCTCTTTTTAACAGTACTTCTTATAAATCCTTTTTTTCAAAAGAGTATGTTATTTAAAAGTATAAAATTTTAATTTTTAATTAATATTAATTACTTTATTTATCGTAAAATAATTGTATATTTTTTTAAAATTTTGAATCTGTTTTAAATTAATTATTGTTTTTTAATTTTTCAAAGCAGACAAATATTTTTTTACTCTTTAAACCCTATTTTTATCCATTTACTGTAATTAATGATCTAGTCCTAAAAAGTCTATATTTATCTTTTATTTTGTTTTTAAGAGTATCATAAATAAATACAAATATTGTTGTTTATCTTTTATTTCATTTTTAAGGATATTATAGATAAGGGAAATGATTTTGGAATAATTTTTTTGTACTATTTTTTGTATAATTTGATGTGTCATTAAAATGATAGGTTTTTTTTATTCATGTGGGATTCATGATATTGAATACATTTACTTATTTAATAACATATGAAAGTTGTATCAAAAGATAAGAAAAAAAATATTGTTCTTATAATACCATCCGATAAATAAATATAAATTTTATCTCTAAATCTTTAATTTAAAAAAAAAAATCAAAAACAACAATTATTGTAAGACAAAAAGAGCAATTTTTTATATACTTTTATTAATTTTAATTAATATTTTATACTATATTTTTAGAATATAATAAAAGACCAAAAAAATATAATTACAGGATAGCACAACACAATATTAACACACAAGCATACATCACATTTAGACACACAAATTTTGGAATCCACTAGAAAAGCTAATAAAGAGAGTTATCTAAAATAAGTCTGATCAAATTT